GATTTTTGTTCATAATGAAGTAAACACGAACTTATGAATGGCATAGTACCTTCAGTTTTCTTTATTTGTATGAACTAGGTCTGGAGATCAACCATTTGGCCAAAAAACATAGTAGGCCCTAAAGAAAGTGTTACAAGGTAACAATAAATTTTGACATACTTATGTTTTTAGTGAGTTTTATCAAGGCAAGTTGAAAGATGGAGATATTCTATCAACCATGAATTGCTTGATATGAATAATTTCCCATTATGTTGTAAGTGAAACTGGTAGAAAAATAATTAGGAAGAAGGTATGAGTTTATGAACATTAGTGTTATAGTTGGTTAAGCCACTTGCACAAAATATTTCACTGTCACTAAGAAAAATAAGTTTAAGAACCTATTTCAAAATAGCAATAATCTGAATATTATACATATGTATATATAATGTATAACAATTGAAATGTGACTGTATTTTACAAAATACTAGTCTACTAAAACACAACCAATACAAATTACTTGTACATACCAAATGTCAGTTTTATGCTTTTTGATATGGTAACATGAGTGCACGTGAGCCACATCACTGTAACTTCTGTATTGTTAGCCAGGCACGGCTGAAAGGTCAATATAATAAAAATAATAAATATACATAAATGTATAATGTTATGAGATTTAAACTATTTAGTCTAAACATTTATGTTTTTGTGTTATAATATGTATTAATTCTAGAACAAAAGAGGCATAATTTACATTTATTTCCTAATTTTTTATGGTGGTTTCAAGATTGGTCAAATCTATCAAACCCATACAGAGATTAACTACTGAAAATAACAGATAAAATATAAAAAATTTTCTTAAGAAATGTTTAATAACTATGTGGACATTATAAAGATTTCACATGTGAAATTTTAAATTCTTTCTGATGCATAAAAGTATTTTTTATCTTAAAATGAATATTACTTTGCATGATAGATAGGCAACATACAAAAATAAAAATAAGGCATTAGAAAAACATTGCTTTAAAAACCTTAAGACTTAATAAAAACAATTTATATTTTGCATGTGAAAGCATTGTAATGTTTACTGATAATCTGCCAAATTTCGTTAACATTTGCTTACTAATTTAAAAGTTATAAACTTTAACAAGTACAAAATGGTTACAAGGTCAATCCCAGGGGCCGAGCCCATATTGATAGAGTTAACCCTATATCTACTGGCACCATTTTGAAATTCCTTTCCTTTCATGTCACAAATTGCATTCTGAGTTACATTCAGAATTTAATTAATCCACTTTACTATCAATGTATTTTAATAAAATTTGTTTTATTAAGTATGGTTTAATTCAAAGTTTTATATTATCTAAGTTTTATTCCTTTATTTCAGAAGAAATCTCTAAAACAATAATTAAATATTTCAGTTTGTTGTCACTTGATGATTTCGTGATTCAGATATCTGAACTTTAGATATACAAGAAATAAGTATGTGTAATGTAGAAAAGTTCTTGCAGACATTCAAAGCATACATATAGAGCTTATTTACAAGTAACTCGAGTCAAATTCCAAGAACTTGTCTCAGAGAAAAACTTTTCAGTTCAAGATAAGCCACATTCACTTCAAAAGTAAAGACTGTGTTGCTAAGAAAAATTTTATGTTGAATGGCATACTTCATACTTATTACCAATAGAAAAAGCAGATTTCTTGTTGGAATGTCATCAAATTAACAGTAAATGTACCTTCATGAAATGTTGTAGATGATTGGTAAACATTGCATTTGTGCACAAAGTAACAGATTTTTTAATTAAATTTTAACACTTTTTAATTAATGATTTGCTCCTGCATTGTTTATTTTTGAATATTGACTATCCAACATGTGAAGTAATTTTGATTTTAAGATTAAAAATACTTTTATGCATCAGAAAATTGTCAATATCCTCCAGATAATTATCAAACTTTTTTTTAAGAAAAAAACTATATTTTATCTGTTATTTATTTTCACTATTGTATCTTTCTATGGGTTTGGTTGATTCTACCGACCTTGTAACCACCATAAAAAAAAAGGAAATAGATATAAATTAAGCTTTTTTTGTTCTAGAATTACAACAAATTATAACAAGAAACCACAAATGCTTAGTTTAAGTAGCTTACATCTCAACATTTTAAATACACTGAGTGGTCACATGTAAATAGACACCTAATTTTTCGTCATTTAACTGATTTATGCTAACTAATTTGT